GACAAAAAAGCTCCCATAACATTCGAATCACGTTTAACCCTTGTTTCATAATATAAGTAATATACAATAATTATCAACAAGTGTTATCTTTCGTTCGATATTTAGTTTAGTATATAATAATGGTGCGTTAAAAACTTCGAGAAAATCTGCTTTCTATGAAAACACACAAATTGAACGATACTACAACACATCGTTATGACTTGTGCTATTATCTTTTTGTATTGCAACGTATTAAAAAATAATCGTACTAGCCTCAATTTCGAATTATTCAATCAACCCAAGGAGGCCATCAAAAATTCACCAGAAATTTGATCTCATATATTTCCCCAAAACGACCGAATTTTTATTACTAGAACAAAAATCACTAAAACGACGATTTACGGCCGATCTGAAACCGCGAAAAAGAAAACAAAGTTAGTATACTCACCTAATCATAATATCTCGCCTCGAGACGATTCCGAACCGGCAGAAGCTCATTCAGTGGAGAACTCGCGTTACCTTTTGATACAACACTTCCGGTAACACTTTATTTTTTTTTTCTTCGTCCAGTACGATCGAAGTGTAGAACTTGGCGAGGCGTCGATAGAGAGATAACTAAATCACTACGAAGGGGTCAGTTCGCGGCGAGTACGTCTGTCAATCTGTTAGTACCACTGCCAACTCAGGGACGTCGCACGGGACCGCGAAATCAGGCGCCCCCTTCCTCCTCTTCCACCCTGCGACACTAGAAAAAAGGTGTACCTCACGCGAAGGGGGATAATAGGCGACCATTGACAACTTCACGGAAGTAATAAACCTCACGGTTAAGGATAACTAGCGAAGCGCGAACTTGTCGGTGGATAAATAAATTTATCCACGGCCGGAAGCGTTCCCTTGGGCCCTACCATATCGATGACGCTTCGATTCGTATCCTAGTGACTGTTTACACAAATTTCCGCAACCGAGAATTATAAACGTGTCCGCATTCTTCTTAAATTTTTTTCTTTTAAATTCTACGCACTTTGAGACATTCAATTTGTATCCTTTCGTTATTTCGTTCATGAACTATAAATATGATACTGTGCTGCTCTTCGAATTATTCAATTCGTAGATTTTTATCGAAATATTTCGATTCTATATTACAATTTACACAGAATTGATAATATTCTATTTGTTATGCACAAGACGAAAACAACTACTTTCATGGTAGTTTCTAGTACAATGTCTCTTTCATAGAGTCCAATAAAACAAACGAATGAAATTACATCCGAGGATTCAATTAGCGATACGGTACGCGAAACGATCACAACGTTGATTCAATTTTCCTAATTGTAGAACTCCTTAATTACAAGCGCTAACTCACTGTGATTATTTAACGTTGTACGCTCGTATCCGGCAGAAAAGTGTTATCACAATGTTGTCATTTGTATGACAGTCGTGATTAAAAAAAAAAAAAGAAAATGAAAAAAGAGATCACCGAAGGGCCCAGCCTCTGCACCCCTGTGCCCTGTTCGAGTTAAATTACTATAGAAGACTTTATCCACTTTAGGCAACGGCCGTCAGGCAATCATCCTATTGCCGTACCATAGTATCATGAATGACGGTAAGAAAAGCTACCGAGAGCCGGTTGCCACGAGTTCCCCTGAAATACTGTGTGCCGCTCACTCTGTTGTATTCCCACGGTCCACTTCGCGGAGAGAAAACAATGTGAAACGATATTTTCAATCGACTCAACTACTGTCACAACAAGACACGTGGTCGTCTTGACGGATGTCGTGCCAGTTGATATGTTTGTCAGTGTTGCTTGACGTTTTAATGAAATAGAGAAAGGTAAAACACAATTGTTACCAATCTAAGGTAATTCGAGAGCAGACGGGTTATCGAGAGAGACAAAACGATACGCGCGACCTCCTAACACGAGACATCAATGAGAAAAAAATGATAAGATAGCAAACTGTATATGCAATATTTGTTACCATGAACAAGATGAGAAACTATGTATGGTGTTTCACGCGGAACTCATGAATGCAGGAGGTTTACGTCGCTTGAATTTTTCTTTTAGTGTTCGCCTTGTGGAATTCGTCGCGCGAAACGTTGCCAATCCACAAAGCTCCTTATTGCGTCTCTTACCACTTTAAGAAGCAACTGTGAGATAATGACCCAATTAGATGTCATTTACACGTGAGTCATATTATCAATTTATCCATGTCCGGCTGCCAGGCTTTAATGCTTTACGCGTATGGTTATCCACATTTGGTATAGAAAGATAAACCGTCTCGAATAACGTACATTCAACGTTACTAGACGTTGCACCTGCGAGCTCAAGTTAACAGAAATCGTTTCATTGTCACAGCACAACTTGTAACAACTTCTACAAGTGGACGTTTATAATCTCAACAGGAATTATCTTTTAACATGAAAAAAATTGAAATTCATGGGACAAGGTTAATCCTTGACGGACGTCTTTAAACAGGACAATAAGTAGAAGTGAAATACTTCCTCACGAACATTTATTTTCCTCTCAACGAATATTCTGGATTGTGTTTTGTACAAATTCTTTACTGCTAAATTAAAATATTTTCCAAAATAAAATATAATTTTATCAAATCATATAGTTAGCACATAATTTCTAATATATTTAATAACATTGTTTTAGATCAAAGTAAGCTGCATACAATTGCATAAAAATAGATCTTAAGAGGTATTAAAAATATTTAAATATGTATCATTAGTCAATTTTTCGACTTCTACATTTCAAATCATTTGAAAATAACAAAAACATTTTTCTGTAGATCCTCATTACGCCGCATGAAGTATTTAGAAGGAAAAGTTTATATAGTAAGTTTTTAGTGGAAAGTGAAATTTCATGGAATAAACAAACATACGCTCATAATCATCTGTATAAAAATAGAGCGATTGATAATTGCCGACAGAGTGTCTAGCAGCGTCGTATTGTTGAGAGGGGGCGCAAAACCGTCGCCGACTGACGTAGGAGCTCTCGTTTTCTTAGCCACCTAGTATACACATCCGGTCGACCGGGCACTCTGCAACTTTCCTACTTCATTCATCGACGCATTCTGTGGCCTTTGAAGGTTGCACAGGCAGAAAAGAGCGGGCACGGTCGCGCGCCGCCGATCAGAGTCAGCCGACCAGTTTCAACATAATAATTCCTTCTTGGAAATATACCGTGCTACCACTACATTCTGCAGCATCGCGAATACGAATCACATTCGTTACATGTGAATCGAGCCGCGAACACTTTGCACGCTGTCTTCCCATACCTTTTTACCCGACTTTTTGCACTACCGAGAAGCATCATGCAAGTGATTATGTAGTTACGTAACAATAAAGATCCTGGTACAGTAAAGTTAACGATAAAACTTTAGATCTAATTTTCAAGGGGTAAAAATTTTCATAAAGGAGTGACATTTTTTTATAACTAATAAGAAATATTAGGTCTATGAAGAGTATGTTGGTTTTTTTTCTGTAATACTGCTAGGGATGTCGTGTCAGTGATTATGTAATTATGTCATAATAGAGATTCTGACGCGATAACACTAATACTATAGAATTTGTAATGCTTTAACGTATGACACAACTGATAAGGAATAGGGAAAGGAAATTATTCATCTCTGTGCTCTTTATATTCTTTTTCTTTTTTTGAACGAATATTGGATTATTGTATAAACACCTGTTATTAACTACTTTCCTCAATCTTTCTCTAATTTTTTATTTTACAGGAAGAAGCTTTGAAGATTTAGGAATCTTTAACGCATCTTTAACACAATTCGTTCAATTTCATTACTCTCAAAGGAGGAAATGCTTTTTTTTAATATTAATACAAATTTGTAACAATAAAGAAGAGAGAGGATAAATATTTTACAAAATGTTCATCTTCGTACTTGAAGGAAAAACTATTGCTAAGTTCTTTGGAACGTAAATAAAAAACACGAATCGTAGATCATGCGACTGTTTAGCAGGAAGTTATAATAACAGGGAGCTCGGCATCAATGAAATGGGAAACTACCAATGACTGGAATACTATCGTCATCCCCAACGATCTCTACGTCACCTTTGGGTTAGCAACCATGACGTGGCTTTCACCGAGCACGCCGAGCATGATCGCCATAAGTGTCGCAATTTCTTGCAATCCGTGAACAATGGAACTAACGCGAAACTATTCTATTCAAATTAATCTGTGTCATTTTATAACAATTTACAAAAATCAAATTCAAATATTTTTTTAATTATAGATAATTATGTTACTTTATATTTAAGATTATACAATTTATAATTACTTATTATTCTCAAGAGAATTTAAATTCATAGCCTTTAAATTTCTTAATATGCCTCTGTGCACTTATTTGAATAAAGAATTAGGGGATAGGCATGTTTTCGATAGTTCGATTGTATCGCGGCCGACAATTATTTTTTACAATTTGTTATTACCCTAACCTAATAAATATTAGTTTTTCTGTAATGTATACAAACACGTATCAAACTATTAGTTCTTCGACTAAAAATTAAAGTAACCCAACAACGATTCGTTTATTGACTTATATGTATTTAATAATCGGTTAACTTTCTATTAATATAATAAAATACAGAAAAATAGTAACAGCATCACTAACCACTCCAATTCCATTAACCTTCGAATAAGAGATTACATTGAAAATAGTCGACTCCATGGATGTAAAAAATTTCTGTACAAATTATTCCAAATCGATCATGTACATAATTAAAATTTTTCCTCGGTGCACAAGTATCGTACAGCAATATTTAACAAACATTCCACATGAATAATATAGCGGCAAGAATATGGCTGGGAACGGTGCCCGCTACCAAGCGAACTCTGCGTTCCAACGAAAATTCCGTTCGTTCGATTCTCACAGAGCGCACACAGGTATTCGCGCTTGTGGCCGTGCACGTGCGCGAGAGCACCCTCTAGAGGGGAGGGAGGTTATCGACGGCGCCTCACCATGAAGGAGAGTAAAGAGAGAAAGGAGAAGAGAGGGCAAACACGACGAAGGAGGTGGAGAGGAGATAGTCGGTCGCATACACAGGTAAAGCGTACAAGATATAGGCAAACGTAGGTGCTTGTGAGTTCGTGTTGGGGTAGCATACAATGGTGTGGACCGCGTGCTGGAATACGCCGTGAGGAGAAAACGTGAATGATCCATAGAAGTCGGTACCGTTGTGCACTTCGACGAGCAGACTTGTGTCAGTGCGTAGAGTGTACTGTACAGATGGAAGGGAACAGAATAGTAGTGAAGCGGTGGGAAACGTCAAAGAATTGGTGGGGATACGGCTAAGAGAGGAGTGGGGTAGGGGTAGAGGTTCGGCTTCGGAAATGGCCGCGGGAAAGTAGAGAGCGTTACGTCGTCTGGCAGGCGAGCCGAAGTTTTTCGTGTGTGCAGCGCTCGTTAACCCGGTGCTTCGGGCGTGCGATCGTCAATTCACCAAGCTCTCGAAGACGGGGTGTTGCGATGCTTTAAGAAAAAAAATCTACGTCTTGTTTAGTGTACGACTATTCTATCTGGTCTGGTTAGAGAGTCGGTGTTCGGACCGGTGTCTCGAAGAGATCAGTGCGGGCGGTCGTGCACGAGGATGGCCGGCGACGACGGTGCACCACCGAACAATGAGATCCTCGGTACGGACGGAGAGGGGCAGGGTGCGTCAGTGCGAGGGGAACCGCATTCCAGAGTGGGCGGCATCCTGGAATGCGATCCCCCCGGTAACAAGAATTTGCCGAGTGAGCAAGCCTTCAACGACGACGACGGCGCCGACGGAAGCGGTGAAACTGTGATTGCCGACGACTGTAACACCAGCGGAGGCGTTGAGACCGTGATTGCCGGCGATAACGGCGCTCTGTGCCGATATGCTATCGGCACTGCCAATACCGCTATGTCTTTCATCGAGGTTTGTCAGGTAATGAACACTTACATACACGAATACCGGCGTTATGTTCTTTTTAATCTTTCCTAGCTGTCAATCAGTTCTATGTTCATCTTTCTTTTACGTACTTTCTCTTTTTTCTCTGTATGTTTCGTCTCTTTTCCTCTCGTCCATATAAAAGCTCGTACCGCGTTTCGGTAGAAAGATCGATACCAAAGTTGAATTTCAAAATTAATTTTTCTTAGTTTTCTATTATTGTCTGTTCGTATATCTTTTGAACATTAATTTGACACTTGACTTCGACAACAATGTTCTTGACATACGAAAATATTGAAGTATTCAATGTTTAAAGTAATGAGAGCGAAGCACCGTTAATCGTTCAATTACTATCTTGCTTTCTCTTATATGTGTTCGCTTTGAAAAATTTTCCGACTGCGCTTGCATGTTACGAGAAATCGTCATCTTTCAGATTCGACTGCAGCATCTCTTCCCGCAATTGGTCTCATCTTCGCGCTACAATCTTTGCGAAGATTCCATAGAGCTTACAGCAGAATGTTTGGCCAACGATGTAATACGGTATCTACTGAAGGAAGATATTTATCTTATATCTCGAGATCCGGTCTCTCGTAGTATGAGACACAATGTATATCAGATGTTGAACAAGCACAGTATTCTATTCGCGAGTATGGTAAATCGTTTGAACGTTGTGCCGGATACGGCATACGAGGCATTCATGGGAGTTGCGGATGAGCTGTTTTTACACGGTGGTGTTACATGGGCAAGAATCGTTTGTCTCTACGCATTTATGGGTAGACTCGCTCTCTGGGCCCGAGATAGACGAATGCACGCTTTAAAGAAAAAATTACCGCTATACGTCTCCAGATTTATTGGCGAAAAAGTTGCTCACTTTATCAAAGGATATGGAGGATGGGTAAGTGCTGTGTTCTTAAACTTAAAAATTTCGTTAAATACAAAAATTAATCGTTTACATACTTCTTTCATTGACATATGTATTATGTTACATTTCTTTAGGAGCAACTGTGTATAGAGTACCCTGTGGCAGAAGAAATAAGTGGAGCAATCTGGAGGAGTCTTCTTATGACTGGTGCTACACTTGGCTTGGTTGCAACAATTTTAACAGTGACCTCCTGATATACCCTTACAAATTAACTAACACAGGGTATGTTCCATGTGAGACCTTCCAGCGTACTTATGTTCTATCAAAATGTTTTTAAAAACAATTTTGGAGTTTATATGATGCTTTTATATTGGCAGTGAAAGTGAAATTGTGTGATTTGGAAGCCATCTTTGCCTATACTCTTATAATAAGTACAAGATGTAAATTAAATCTTGATCTTACAGCCTGCACAATTTTCATATCAATGTCATTCAGTTTAGAATCATCCTACTGTGTAACATGAGCGAACGATAATGATACGAGTTTCCTATTATATTCATATTTTGTAATAATTGCAGCTCGATGGACTAGTTAAATTAGTGGAAAGAAAATCTTATTTAATGTTAATCTAGATATTTTATCAAAGTAATTTCATATAATACTCAAAATTGATGTTTCAGATATTTATACCAAACAAGAATCTCAAAATTATATTGAATTTAGGTAGAAGCAATCTAAATGTATTTATTTATAATTTATTCTAGGTAGAAAATATATTAATAAATTTCCTTGTCAATCAAAGATCATCATAATGAACACTTAGAACTTATAAAAAACGTATATGTTTCTACTCCAGTTAATACTGGCTGCTGACTGTCCCTTAAAATATCATCATCCTAAACTACCTATCATATTGAAAAACCTTCAGCAAGAGAGTATGTAATCCCATTCAGAGTATGTAAGGAAAGTGTCTCCCTTAAATCTTGCTAATCCCACCCACACAAGCTGCACGTTTCTGCATATGAAAATAGCTACATTGATAACATGTTCTCAAATATCATAAAAGAAGTACTTTTATAGGGGGTTCTTTGCTGGAGAGTATATTGTATAATATTACCAGCATCCTCTATATTGTGTGGAGGAATTCTTTAATTCAGGACAAGATGTATTATCCTGTTGCATCTGGATCTTGTATTCTAGTCTTGTTGCTTATGGAGTATGTGATCACAAACTCTCTGTAAGCTTTCACAAGAAACTTATCATGGTCAGCAATGTCATGTGTTAGACTATCAATAGACGAGTTATCCCTGTGCACCATGGATCTCAGTGCACTGCTTCTACAGTATCTAATACATTCTCTACAGCTATTAAAAACTGAGGTGTCATTTCTCTTCATTGACTATGATAAATATGCAAACATTTGCTACTGCAGAGGCACCCTGAAAACACCTGACTTGCATGAGTCCTTGTCCCAGAGACATAACATACAGGTTAGTAAATGTTATATGTATTAAAGGACGTGCTGTGTGTTAATAAATAGAAACATTAAATGAGAAAAAAGCCGAGTATTAATATCTAATTCGGAATAAAATTAGTCTAACCATATTTAGAGGATTTCATTTAATTAGATATGTTCAATAACTATATCTCCAGTAACTTATTTGCATAGGCCTGCAAATAAGGGTAATTTAAGTACGGATGTTGTGTGTGGTTGTCAGGGTAAAGCACAAACCAAAAGCAAGATAAGACATTTTTAAAACAACAAACTTACACTATGTCTATTTTTATTCTTATAATTAATAAAGTGCTCATTAAACATACAGTAACATTTTTAAACAGCAATGGATGTTATATGTGGTACTTTCTAATGACATTGCAAAAATTTTTATACAAATAATTTGGAGATAATAAACATTTCTACAAAACATCAGTTTTCTTAGTTGTATCAATTATTTTGTGAACCTATAATAAAACAGTTCTCTGCAAAGTAATATTATTAATTTCATTTTTTTAAATACATACTTACATAAGTATTTGATGATATATTTGATGTGAAAGAAATATTTAGATATATTTTTAAATTTTTTATATGAAACTCTAACAGATGCAAGGGAGACTAAATCATTAAATCCAAGTAGCAGCTTTTATAAGTATTCACTCAATTTCACCAAGGATCTTAATGTATTATCATATGTTTAACGATCGCATTAAATATGGTATTACTCCATAATGTGTATTAAATAACATCAGTATCATAATATAAAATATATCATGAAAAATATAAAATTCTAGTTTATTTAAAAAGGAATAAAAAATAATAAGCAGATATGTAACAAAAATCAATTTCATAAACAAATACTCTTAAATACGTATACTTGTTTGTGTATATTTTAGAGCTATGCAAAAAATAAAAAGGAAATATGGTTTACATAAAATCTTATTACTATCGAATAAACTCAATTCTAAAACAGGTATTTTCTTGAAAAAAAGAAAACTTATTACTTCAATACTAGAATTATTAAAAATATATTTAGCAGATATTTGTATAGTTTTATTTAAAGTAGTATACTTATTCCAACGTAAATACAATCTACGTGCTACTCAAAATATATTGGTTTATTGTTTAATACCAAAATGCAAGTATTTCAACCCACAAAAATTTCTAAAGTACATGATTAGTAATGTTTATGTCTATTCATATGATTTGTATCCTTTTACCTTTTAAAGAAATTATATAATATCCCCGCGTAAAGCATTAGCGTGTTTAACCACTCCTTAGAGAATTAAACACATAATTTTACTAATAAAATATTTCACGCGGTTTCTGTGTACATAATGCCAATGAATGAGGATTGATAAAAATGTGTAAACAGAGGACATGTTTTTTAAAGCAATATTGTTATTTTTATCAAATTTTTGTTACTATTAGATGACTATTTAGATTTATTAAGTTGTTGGGATATGTTTAACAATTGAAAAATCTAAAATCAACTACTCAAATTTATCACACTCATCTTAATAATACATGATAACTTTAGGGACAAATAATCAAGACATGAATTACATGAAATTTTTTAAGCTTGTTCGAATACTCCTTATGCTTGAATATAAAAAAAGATAATTCCTTGATCGTTTATAATTTTATGAGTTACATGAACATACAATACAAAATCATGAACTAGAGAATAATTTGCTGTGAATATACCTAACAGTTCCTCTTACATCTACTCAGATCTTGTGACTGTACAGAAAACAACTGCATTTTACTTTTTATTTCCTAACGTGGATAATAGTAAGAATCAACAATTTTTTTTAATAAACCTTCAAATGTTTCTACTTTAAGTTTGCTAATATCGATATTACAACTATGTATAAGTATGTATTATGCATTTATGTGTGAATATATAACTATATAACTGTACAAATGGAACTCTTATTTCGTTCCCCACTTATATAACAGCAAGTTATCATTGTACCACAGTCATTAACCACCAATTAATTGGTTAATGATATATGAAACATATCGTCAGTATTTTGAGAATATTACATGAATAAACTTTAAAAAGAAAACAACAATTATGTTCTAAAAAAAGAAGTATTGATAATATTCTTTTTAATTTTAAATACATAAAGAAGTGACTTAAGGATATTTAATATTCCTATACCTTTAAAATTGTTTTATTCACATATACACAATACTAATAAATTCAATCTTTTTTTTTAAATATGCCAAAAATAAAATAGTAAAAACTATCAATGCTTAGGAATATTGGACCCCTTTAACATTATGAAAATTTGACTTTGGTGGTAACTTATGTAGACCAATTTTCGCTTTTTTATTTTTATAATTACATTAATTATTCATTTAAACAATATTTTATTTTAATACCATAAAGAAAACAATTTAAAATAAAGGTAAAGAAATGTAACTGGATGCAGAAATTGCACACGATACTGACGACATGATCACTTTAATTTAGATCTTTCATAAAGATTGGCAGTTATAGCCTGGACGAATTACTGTCCAAAACAGAGCAAAAATGGTAAGACGTTTTATGAATCTTATTTGCACCAATATCTTGTTATATTCAATTATCCCTTCATAAATCGAGTGCATAGGACTGAGAATAAAAGACAGATTAAGGTAATCTACTTCTATATTAGCCTTTTCACGTACTATTTAAAGAACTCTTGAAAAGTTTTTCTTCCAAAAACCATTCAATACTTTTTTAGAGAGTCTTATAGTAATATGAAAAGGTATAATGTATTATTATACTATGGCATTAAAATATATTAAGCAGATTTGAGATAAACTTTTGTTCAGTACAGTAACACACTGTTCGATTTTTTATACCTCTGTTTATCGACTGATGTATCTGTATATAAAATTCATTCCAGACTTGAAAATATTATTGCAAGGCATGTTTATGAGGGATCGAAATATGCAACGATAAATAGCACACAGCAAGCGCAAATTAACATCATTAATTAATACAAAAGTATTTTACATTTAGCCTGATGGTAATAGGATTCAATTTTAATAAATTCAAAATTCATAACGATATATGTGTTGCCACAGATCATATTACGTTTAAAGTATATCTAACACGTAAATCACTTGGTGACATGCTCTATTTTTGTTTCCTGTCAGCTTTCTTGGTTTATCACAGCTGGGGCAAAAGTGACAAAAAAACTTGTCTTGCACGCCCGAAAAACGAAGCTGGTTTAAATCTCTATTCCACATAATCCCACCAATCCTTTTCATAACCTTCATGTACATGTTCCAAAAGCACTTTCCTCCGACTATCGCAATATCTTGAAGTAAAAACGGTATGTGTATATTTTATATTTATACATCATGAAATTTAATTCTTAATTTGATAATAATGTACTATTGATATATAAAAGAATTTATTATTTAACCGCTTACCTATATTTATCTTGAACCTTTTGTTTAATATCAGCAAGATTTTCACTTGTTATGTCTCTTTCAAGATATTCAGAAAGACGTTCTGTTGTGCCTTCTAGATCTTTCTGGTTGTCTTCAAAAATCACAGACTGGTTATTCTTTCGCACGTAATAAGCAAAAACATAAGTATACATAAGAGTCTGTCTACAGGAACACAAAATGTCTACTGCTTTCTTTAAAAATTGTACCTGTAAACATGATTATAACAAAGCTTAATTTTTATAGTTTTTCCATAAAACGTTTTTTGTATTTAATTTCAATCGATTTTACCTCAATCCATGACATGTTATGTTGTTGCATCTCTTCCATCTTTTCTTTTACACTTGCATACAGCTTACTCTCAAATTTTAATGATTGCATATGATTCATATATCTATTACAATAAAATAAGTATCTCTGTAATACAGATCGTGATTTTTCTTGAGCATCTCTTGCTGCTTTAGCCTCTTCTTCATCATAACGGTTACAATTATACCAGCTAGAACCATGTGGTTCCCAAGGTCCAAGACACACCCAACAAAAGTCAGTTTTGCAATTTTGATTTTTGCATACCATATGGTTACATCCACCATCCTTTTCAATGGTGACATTGCATTTTGGACATTCTTTTGTATTTGCAGCAATCCAATTTGATGTTTCAGAATCATCATCGCATTTTTTAATCCATTTACGCAGCAAGTGACATTTTACAGGATCGTGCCAATTTTCACCACAATGGAAACAAAATGTATGTCCACATTTACAGGTTACTGGTCTTGCTTCTACATACTGTACTTTTATAGCATTATTACAATCTGGAGATGGGCACCACCTCAATAACCTATTACACTGTAAGACAAAAGAATAAATATAAACAGTTGAAATATAACCAATTTTGTCATGTGCCATTAAAGTATACAAAATAATATTTACTTCAACGAAACTATTTGTTATTAAATGTTGATATTTCAATTTCACTTTAGAATCTTTTACAAGACGCATAACACTGGCATCATCAACTAAAATGTCACAAGCATGTGCAGCACATGCAATTGTTTGTCCAACTCCTTCTTCCATAATTTTGGTTGTGAGATATTCTCCCCAACAGCCAGTACAAAAACGATGTCCACACTCAAGTCCAGTCATCATCTAATTTTTTTTAAATTTATTAAAACGATTTGAAAAAAATATTTAAATAAACTATACATATTGAATTTTTGTTTTTAATATTAATTATAAACATATCATGTTTAGTGTAATTTTGCATATACATACTGCTGATGGTTGAATTGTAAAACAAATTCCACATTCTTCTGTACCATTTGACGTTCTTCTAGACTAAAAATTTTTAATATTTTATTAACACAATCCTTTTTTTTTTACACACTGTAAATATCAAAATTGATTTTTATTTACCAGAGAGCTTTGAAAAGATCGACTTCTATTAATTAATGGATCCTTACTAAATGGATTAACAACACGTGCTTCCGCAAATAATTTTTCTTGATCACCATCATAAAAACGCTCCATTAATTTTTCTTTATCCCATTTGAAATGATTTAATAGTATACGCGTGGTTGTTGCTGGTATCTATAGTTGAATAAGGATGTAATTTAACTATATGAATCCGTTTAAATTACAGAATATAATGCATATGATATATATGCATATAACTCTTAAGCTTTATTTGTTTAATTTTATGCAACAAGTTATTTAACGTACTTCAACAACTGTGTTGACTTCTTTTATAGAATCAACCATATGTTGCACTATTTCTTCTGTTGATAGAACTTCAAAAGGGTAATCATCAACATCTGTTGCCCGTTCTCTTGGATTTCCAACTTCTATTTCCATTGCAAAATCCACATCATCTCCACTAGATTCATTGCCAGAATCGACATCATCATATGTTTCCTCTTCAGAATCCATTGTGAATCTTCTATTTTATTAGGTAATCGAAACACCAATATATCCTTTTATTTTATATATTTTTCACCTGTATAAAAAATATTGTAATGAAGAAATACATAGTACATCAAATGCTGAGATTCCTAAATCATAGTTTTCCAGTAAACACTGTTTTATTTCCTCCACTGTATTGTAAACATACATGGGAAACAATGAGACCACCAAGTGAATATATATCATAATTAATTAAAAACAGTACACTGACACATTTTTTTTCAATTTGTACTTCATAATTCTCCCAAAAATTGTAAGATAAATGGTAATACCAACACAAACGTATCCGCCGTTTTACGGATGTACTCGACAAATTTCAGGATACTTTCAATATCACAAAGAAATGTATCGCACCTGTACCCGCGAAATGCTATTGCAGCGGAACAAGGTGAAAACAGCTTATGTTTCAGCACATGACGTCATCGTTCGCTACTTCCCGAATAAAGTAAGAATCTTTATCGTACGTTTCTCTTTACTTACTACCAATTGTATCTCACAAAATTTACAGTCACGACACTACGCGATCCCCCAAACAATGTAAATAGTTAAAACTTCAAAATATTTTTACCATCGATGTAAGCAAGAATAAAATCAGCTGCCAAAACATCCGAGTTGAACTCCGGCAGCTGATATACTAAACGCTATTTTCACGGCAGAAACGATGAATGAGCTACCGTGCTGCTAGCCAATCACAAGTCTTTTATGTACATATCCAATGGCGTCTCGTGTTTATCGAATTGATATTTTATAGGAGTATTATTTTTTGGTTTCTGTTAACGTTCAGATTCAGAATTTAGTAATTTTATGCAAAGTGTCATAGTTCTTATTATAATTGGTCAATTAGAACAAGTATTACAATAATCAGAAATAATTATACACTGTTAAAAACTAAAACTGCTTCAGCATATTTGTTTAGCTACGATTTTATCCTGACAGGAATTGCATATATCTAATATGTCTCAATTGTAATAAACATTGCTATAAATAAATTTTAATTATAATTCTTATTACGTGTAATAACTTTTTGTTTAAAAAGTACGTGAAAGATACTGTACGTTAACTATTTCAGATAATTAATAATATTTAAATAAATGTATATAAATGACTATATCAAGAAATAAGTAATATGATAATATTATCAACAAAAAATAGAATACCTTTTAGAACTTTTCGGTGAACAGAACAGTTAATTTTTGATAACTTATATAAAGAGGTTACAAAAATGAGAAAACTAGATTGAACTCCAACTGTTACGTATGGTATCACTGTGTATTCGACGAATACACTTAAGTCACTACAGTGTTCTTGAGACTACGAAGAACGTAGTCAAGGAAAACTTATTGCGATATCGTTTCGATCTCGTTTAATCGAAAACTTTAATGAAATACGAAACAAACACTAAATACACTTTACGCGATCCCCAGATATTTATCGATGTTAAAACACATCACAGATTTACAGGATGTATTACGATGCACAATAATTATTTCAGCCATTGCACTCGATAAGTCACCAAATCAGTAGGCTAATCGGGTAAAACCATAAATTAATCTAGAATGCACCGTTTGCCATGAAAGAAAGGACGAGCTTATAGCTCGAATACTGCTGTCACGTCCATAGCAGTGCGTGCGATGACTTTCTTCTACGATCGAGTCGAATACGTTGTAACCTTTTCCCTGCGCTCGCTGTTGAAACTTAAGGTTAGTTGATCGGTAGACAACTAAAGACACAAAATTTCACGCAATACTATCCGGGAAATTGAAAATCGAAGAGTGACGCGACAACGGAATGTCTCGTCACCAAGTGCCGTTTTACTGACTTTAGTCAACTACTTGAAGTCTGCTCCGTATGCGACGCACAGCTGACGCACATGGGCGTCTCTATGAAGGGCACAATGTTCATATTTTTAATATCTTATTAAAAAATGTTAATTTCTCTAATAAATTAAAAATCACAACTTCAGATTATAATTAATTCGTGTTTATACGAAGATACAATTATATTAATCGTCTTAAACCAATAAAATCATTTTACGTTAGTTGCAAATATAGTTATTACGTGCTAGTTAGTATTCGGCATAGAAAAAGAAATAATAACTAATTACTATTAGCGAATAATTTAAATATGAATGAACAATTGTACAAATAAACTTTATTGAAATATGTATATATGTGTGGAAATTAAAAATATTTACAGTAATACATTTATCAATACTGGAAAATTAACATTAATAAAAATGTGATAAAACAAATTACATTAGTTTTTCAGGTTGAATAACGTGTTTCATCGAATAATTGCATACAATTTATTGTATGTAAGATATTCATAAGCATAGATGTGGGGTGCCAGAATTGGAAAGCTTCGTTTGAAAATTCAAGTTACTACGCCGCTGTTTGCACGAACGATAAGTAGAGAAGCTCACGTCGTTCTGTCAAGTTAAGTTAACCCCACAGTGTCGTAATATTCGGGGCAAATATCAGAGTGAATTACATACAGTTACCAGGCAATATGAGTATGTCCAGCATAAGTGATTATTCTTTGCTACAAAAAATCGGCTCGGGAAGTTATGCGACCGTCTACTCAGCATTCAAAAAGGTACATGTATTTTGAGGTTCGTTGCGATCGTACACGAACCATATGATGGCAGTGTCGTAGCTAGATTCAGAGGCGCCATAATTTGTACATGTGACTCACTGCAATTGAAACTATGTAAAATTCACGATTCTTAGTTTTTCTTCTAAAATACATGCAATTAAAATATTCAATTTTTGTATTATTAAATCTTGGAGGACATACTGATAAAAACATTAATTTTCTTTATATTGACAAATAAAACGTTTCAACATGGAGAATGTACGATTTAGTGACATTTCTAGTTATTTTATTGTATAACAATGATTTTTACTAGATTATTCGTATACATTAATTAAATTCAACTCTTTTTTTCTAAATTGCTAGTAGGACACTGCAATGCAGTGATAGAACGTTACGAGACACGCGTGTATATACACTATGTAATTCGGTAAATTAATAATTTTAAAAGCACTCTAGCGTTCATGCAAATCCGACAACTTTTAATCATTCCTTTATGGTAATTAAATGCATGGATTTGAATTTAATCCTTAATAGATTTGAATTAATTTGAATTTAATGAAAGATTAATGAATCTTTCACGTGTAACGATTACCGTGAATTTTATATGCGCTGCATATGATACAACAAAAAGTACGACAAAGAAAAAGAGTCACAGACAGGATAATTATATAGCTCTTGCAGGCAGTGTTGTTTTTCAGGTTTTTTTTTTTTAAGCTTTCCAAACCTTTTTAGACGAGGTGAAAGCATCGGACATACATAATTCTGTCTGACTCAGTGTCGTACGTCATTTGTAAACCAATGAAACGAAATCAATTGTAATTAATCGTAAGTTTGCGATTACATGTTCCTTGAATTGTTGTACCATTCTTTTCATTTATTTACGTTGTTTTTGCAAGCAAATTACCACATACGAAAGGTAAGTTGTTACTTGTGCCACATACACGTTACAAATACTGTCAATTGAATTAATCGAATTAACATTATACTACACAATACTATTACACGAAATCAATAGATAAATTCGATCAAAGTCTCGCGATAACCACATTATAAATCCAGAGAAATTAGATCTAATCGTTAATCCCCACGATATCACCAACAATCGATCGCTTCTTCCTAACACCAATCACAACGTTCCATCGACAATTTTCCTCCACGAGAAAAAAAAAAAAAAGAAGTGTATTCATAACACGAGTATATAACACAATACGAATTCCTGTTATCAATATTCAGTGCATAACACATTCATATCAACACCATCGTTTATGGAACATAAGATATGTGACGCAAATTTCAATAGAGTAAATTCAATTATTTACCATTACAGATATCATTTTTAATCCCTTTTCTGACACATTTATCATCTATCGAAATAAATGAACATTGAGAAGAAGAAACATGTTTATGTCGTCGTCGTTTTGTCGTTTATGCGTTTCAGTTGATCGAGTTCTCGCACGGTCTCGAAAAAAATGTTTATCCTAGATTAGTGACGACGTCGCGCGAATTATCGGAAACGTAACGCGTTCTGTCGTGCCCGATCGAAGTTTACGCGAATGTACTAACCTTTGTACTAGTTTTTCCCTCGCATCGGCACGCAGCAGGAAAACTGTCGGTTTTATTTAGCTGGTAATCGATTCAAGTGCAACCAATTCCTGTTTTAACTCGTGTTTCGATGACTGGAACACGGCTAAGCCTGTCTTGTCTAGTGACAGCGGCAATTTGATAGGTGGCCAAAAAAGAGATGGTCGCTGGTTGATGCTCGAAAGCGGCGGGAGTTATCCCAAGGCGAGCCTAACGCTATGCTATTGTTGGTCGTTTTGTAGGATGGATGCCGAGAGCTAGTCGCAATCAAGTGTGTAGACAAATCGTCGCTCTCTAAGTCGGCTATCGATAATCTCGTCACGGAGATCTATCTCCTAAAGATACTGAGGCACGAGCATATCGTCGAGATGAAGGATTTCTTTTGGGACAAAGGGTGAGTGCGTCGAGTTGTCGATGATTCGGCGTAAAAAAAAAAGACTATGCCGTGCCAAAAATATCGCAAGTACAAGATTACGAAGGACCGCAGGGTTCGTAATCTTTTTTTAAGTATCGTTCGTGATTTTTTAAGACGAAGGAAAGAAAAGGGGGTGGGGGGATGAGTAATTCTTGAACGTTACTGGAAAAAGTCGCACTTAAGCTCTCTGTGATATGCTTTAAGGGGTCATGTAAGTTTCTCGATTTCAAAAAGTCGATTTTTCTTTTTTTACATATTTCGAAAGGTAGATATTTTGAACCTAAAGTGAACTCGAAATTTGAATTATCGACGATGTTATATAGCCGTTTGAATAAATCATTGCAAGACTTTAAACGCGTTTTTCTCGAAGCAGTATCTTTCAAGACGGGGGGTATGATAACTGTTTCATCGTTCACCCGATTAATTTCATTTTTCGCATACGCATTCTAAATAAGACTCGTTATCGGCTCG